AAAATTAATGTTATATTAGAAATTAATTTATAACTAAATAATTACATTTTTATTTACTTTATTTGCAGTATTTTTTTGTATAAACTGTGATTATGAGTTCCACAAAGTCGCAAGTAGCAGTTGCTACAACTATACCAACAATGTCCTCTCAAAAGGATTATAGCACTGAAGAGCATTTAGGTCGTCAAAACAGTTTTGGAAATAATAGACGAGTAAGTATTTCTGTAATATAATAATATAATATTTTTTTTTATTAAATATCATAATATTTTTCTTAAAATGTTATACTTTCTTAATATATTATAATATAATACTATACTCTAATGCTTATACTTTATATATTATATTTATATTTACTTATTACACTTTATTTTACATATAATATACATATATTATATGTATAATATAAAATTATTAAGTAAATTAAATAGTTATAAAACACAATTTTATATAGAGTTTAGAGAGTAATTTATTTTTTTTTTTTGTTTGTTGTGTAAATACGATTTTGGTTTATGAGAGTTTGAAAGAATTATTTCATTGAATTATATATTTTTCTTTTCGTTCGGAAACTCTCTTTTATTTATAAGGCAGTAGCCTAAACCTATGCATAGGAACTTTTTGTTTTTGCTGACATATAACTGATTGTAGTCATTTCTAGCGTCCCCGTTTCAATTAAAGGTTTGACCTCTGAAAATAATTTGTAAAAACCACAACAAAAAAAAATCCGTAGTTGCCAGATATGAAAAGAACAATATATATATATATATGTATAATAATATAATCAAAACTGTAAAAGGTTTTGATGAAAGATCGAATATTATATCGAATATGTCATTATATGGTTTCTATATTGCTTAATGTCTTTATTTTGTCTTTATCAGAATCAAGTGTCGTTCTAGAAAGTGATATGTTTTTAACATTAAATTGTTGAAAATTAGGAACTTTTTTCAGAAGCGACTTTCTTGTTCTGAAAAAGTAAAATCCATGTACTTTAATACTGCTTCAAGTTATTATATTTTATAAATCACCAAAAGTTACTTTTCTCTAATCCTTGTTTTGCGTGTTTAAATTTTTATATAATTTTATATAATATTTTTATATAATAAGTTTGTTTTCATATAATATAAGTTATTATATAAAAATAAAATTTTAAAAACCCCATCTAAAGGCCGGCAAAATGAAAACATAGAAATATTGAGGTCGACACTACTATAAACATCCTTGTTTTCACTAATAATCACTTAATAATTTCTTTCTATCCTTGTTTTCTCAGCTATTAGAATATAACTTAAATCTATGCATAAAAATAGGTGCAAGAATATACATTGATGTCCTTTGCTGCCAAAATAAGAAATTACTATTACAACAAACAAATGAAAGAAAAGAAACTTCAAATTATTTATACATTTAAACTCCCTAATTGACGGTATTATCTGTTAAGATACCTTAAGATCTAGGATCTAGCTGAGGTTACAAAATATCATCACTGTCTGTCTGCGTAGTCAAATTTTTTGTGACTGTCCACTTTTACTCGAGTTTATGAAATTGATATTGAGTCAACAATTCTCTCTTGTGATATTAGGAACTGCACAACGTTGGTTATTCTAGTTTTTATTTTCGAAAGCATAAGTGTTTTCTTTTCGATTAGAGTTGATTTTATGGTAGTGCTCCACTACCATAAACTCTAATAAAAATTATTATTTCTTATTAGCTAATTATCCACTAACTTAAACCATTCTCCACCTAGTGCCGTAGTAAGGATTGTACGCATAATCCTAAAAATATATAAATATTTTTTAAACCAATGTGAATATTTATTGGTTTTTTAAAACATGTATCCTCTATAAGTCATTAATATGTTAAGTGCTTTGTGGCGTATAAAATAAAAAATTTGAATTCAATGTTAATTTTTAAGTATGAAATTTCGTTGCAAAAACACTTCTTACAAATAATGGATGCTTCTTAATGTTCTTTCTTGAAAAAGTTTTTAAAACAAACTCTCCAAAGACAATATTTTCATTTAATATAAGAGAATTTTACTTAATCGCTGTTGGAACTCAAAACTATACTTTAGAAAATATCTACAAGGGTTCATCATTCATTGCTAAACTAGGTAAGCTTTATGTAGAAGTCGCTTCAGTCAATCAATTTACCTTAAGTGGAAGTAATATTTGTAAATTTCCAAAATTTAAGAAGAACTAAAACATTACAAAGTACTGAATGTTGTAATATATGTATCTATCTTTATAATTTCACATACCTTGCTTAATTTTAAGAAATTTTACTTAAAATTAATTTAAAAAAATATATTCTTATTACTTGCTTGAATTGTAATTATTATATAGTAACCAGTACTTATATATTTTTTTCGAAATATAATACTTAATGTCCGAAAAATATGATCTTACAAAGTCCACTTAAATATAATGTGCATCGAGTAATGCATATATCTTTTAAATCTATATCTATATAGAAATATTAATCCTTAAACTATGATATACAAAATAAATAATGTATTAGTTTAAACATTTCAAAGTTTTTTATAGTTTCTAATGAAAACATTTATTAAATTAATATAAAACAATAAAAAACGTACCCTGCAATATTTAATTCCCATTTGTTTGAAAAAAAAATAAGTATTAGATATGTTAAGCATTAAGGGAAAATATGCTTTTTCTATTTGTCATATTATACCTGTTTTAAAGCAATAAATTTTACTTTATATTAATTTATTATATTTGTTGAATGAATTGTAGTAATATAAATTATTTCAAAGAAGTTTCAGAAATAACTATCAGTGTCTATGTATGCATATGGTTTATCTACGAATACCCTAATACTCCAGTAATTCCAGTAATTTGCATTTCTTTATAATCCAGAAAACAAAATTAGAAAATGTGATTACTTATTATATGCCTTGTAGCCCGGACCGATTACCGAATTGCTAATAAGGATCACATATTTTGAGCATATCTATTTGATAGTCTAGTAAACTGATTCATACTATATTTATAGGTTATGTGTATATTGTTTATTTGCTTTCTTTTATTATTATGTTAAGCATATTCCGAGTTAGTGCATCTGGGCACTTTTACTCTATGATAGCTGGGGGGGATTCTGCAGAGTCCCGCCCATCTCACTGTCTAATTTGAGTATTCCTCATAATCTTCGTGAATAATCAATGATTGATCTTAGATCTGCGTACCGGATTATATGTCATAAACATATTCACTCTATTGTCTATTGAAATAAATCTTATTTATGGGTTATATGCATATACTATATATTATTCGCCATTACGCTTTGTGTACTATTTGCTTATACGTTTTCTCATCATGTGATCAATTTATCGATAAATATAATAATTATTAAATTTTTCTACTGTTACTAAACTGAATTTACGAATATATATAACATTTCTAGACTTTTAATCCGAAGGTCTCAGTACTACGTACTGACCCCAATTTAAATATATTTGGATAGAATAAAAGTTCTACTTTATTTATTATTAAATATTATCTCCATATTTTATATTTAAAAACAGTTTATATTTTATTAAAACATTTTTCCAATATTTCGACTATCTTCGATAGTCATCTTCAGGGAAAATAAACAAAATATACAATATTATAATATTATCTCTATACAAATATGAAAATAATTAAATCTATCTTACCTTACAATCGATTAGAGTTTTCATACTGAAATAATCTCATGTACCAAATGGTTGCGTTATTGAAAATTAGAGAAAAAGTATAGTGTTTATCATTTTGAGCTATATATCTAATTACCGTGGTATAGCAAAATTCCTTGAAACTAAAAACTAGGTCAGGTCAACTATAATCTATACCGAAAAAAAAGTATGCTGTACGCAAGATGCAAACATAATTTTGACATTGAGTTCAATTATGTATGTTACGTATACGTACCGATAACCCAATTTCTTTTTTACTTTGTTTTAATTTTGTTTGCTCATTGCAGTCAACCTGATTTCTAGAACATATTTACTTTTGAAAGCAGCACATAATGTACAGTGTTTAAATATTTAAAATAATATGTATTTAATTATTTACTATTTTTAATTATTAACATTTACTAAGAGTCATTGTAAATCTAATTATTGTTTGTTTAGTCTTTAATTTTTTCTAGGATTTTCCAATCAATTATTTGCTCATACGATTGAAATAATAATTAATTATTTTTGCTAAACAAACAGTGGGGAATTCTAAATTGCCGATACACTGTATGTATATGTGTATGTGTGTGGTGGCCTGAAAATGTTGACCTATACCCTAACACGGCAATTTGATTTTAATCATACATTAAGCAGATGTCAGAAAGGGACTAAAAGCGTTAAAACGCTCAAACCTCCTACATTTTCAACATCCCTTAGGTCTGTGTTTTCATTGTCGAATGACTAATTTTTTTTTATTTACTTCTCTTTTTTTTTTGATGTGTGTCAATCTTGTGATTTCCAAGAAAGAAATTATAACTTTGGCATGCTTTTGCCGTTTTACCTTTGCTCCGCCAGCGATAAATCTACAATTATTACGCCATTTGTGTTTTTAGAGTTCAAGGTTCAAAATGAACTGCGCGCCTCCATATGTGTGCGTTTGTGCTCGATTTGTGCAATACAAACAAAGAAAATTATTCCACACGATAAAAAGTTTACAATAACAATTCAAAATCATATGAAAAAATTCAAATAAATAAAAAAAAAAAAATAAGTTAAGTTGTTTACACGAGCAAATCGAAAATTCATATTTGTGCTCCAAGAAAAATGTCAATATTTTTATTGTTCTTCTTTCGAGTTCTTGGAAATTGTTCTTTAGCTCGTTAACCCATTATGTATTGTGTATCAAGTGTCTTTTGCTGGTGTGTGCTTTGCGTGGTGACGTATTGTCATTTGACTGCTGCTTTAGGCCCAGTTTTCAGTCTTTGCCATTTCTACCTACAAACAAAATGTGTAATACAACAAAATCACAACAAAAATTATTAAAAGTGAAGAGAAAGAGTTTAGAGAGAGAGTAACCTAACCGATGAGCACGATTTTTGCAAAATTCGAAATTTTGCTCAAGGTCGATTTATTGATTTTTCTCTCCTCCCTTTCTGAAGTGGTAAAAAGTAACTTGTGCAGTGTTCCATTTTGGTTGTTTTTCATTGATACTAACAAAAAAAAATTTTTTTTTATTAAATTTGCCTTTTAACTATA